GGCCAAGTTTGGTAAGCAAAAGGAGTTGTGCTGCCAGAATGCAGCTTCAAATGCAGGTTTCCTAATGAAGCAGCAACATCAATTCGTGGAGAACACATCAGCATGCAAAGGGGAAAGTTTTATTCAGCATAGCATAGACCCTTCTTTCATGAAAAGGGGAGCAGGTTTCATGCATTCAATTAATAAGCTTATTATTTCCCATGTGTTCCTTTGTGAGGGAGGTATTTTCTTTCTTCAGCAACCTGCATTAACTAAAACTGACTATAAAAGAAATGTTTTCAAACCCAAGCTACACTCTACAATAAATAATGATCACTTTCCCCTTTTCAAAGTCAAATCTTGGCCTGAAATCTATTTTGTTCCTAGTGTTCCTGTTAAAAAAGATGTTGGTGGTCCAGTTCCAATGCCAATACACACTGTAGCATGGGTAAATCTGATTTCAGCTGCTCCTGCAAAGACTGAACTGCATCTGCAAACCCACCCATTTGTGAAGAAGAAAAAAAGAATCTGAAGGCTTATGATTTAATTCTTCCACAGAAGTCTTTGAGAGCTTATGTTATAATAAGTTCAGAAGAAAATATATGCAATTTCCCATCATTTGTCACACTCACTCTAAGTAAGTGGACTTTGATTTGCTATAACTGAAAACTTTGAAAAGCCATCATTATAAGCATGAAAGGCAACACACAGACAAAGGATGTTCTCATAGTTACTCTCCTTAGGAAGGTCAAGAACTTAACAACATTTTTACCCATTTTTGAATGAACAAACTTTTAGTTTTTATTTCAGAGCTATGGGAAAAGTAAGTTCTTATGAAGAGAAATATCTTTTAGTCCAGCCTATAGATTAGATAATAGATTTAAAAGAAAATCCAGAACCAGATTCTAAATTAGGAAATAAAAGCAGCTCTGCTCTATGACATTACAGTGTCAGAACTGCAGAAACCACTGTGTGGCAGTTTCATCAGTTCCCATTTGGGAGAATAAATGGTGAATCTTGACCCTTCCCATCCACCCACCAGAAGACTCTCCTTCAAAGCACTATACATGAAGTCTTACAGAGAAGAACTTTTTAGCTGAGCTGTTCTCTTCTTCAGTGATCATTTATCAAACCCTGTAAGCATGGAAACATCTGCATTCCTGCCAGGAGCCAGCTATAAAAATCCCAATCTTTCCATAACCCAAACCACGAGCAGGTAGAGCAGAACACTCCCAACAAGAGTGACCTGGCACACAGTCCCTCCTCAAAATAAGCACAACTCTTGTGGCCCA